ATCGTAATCCTGGTAGATACAAACGCAAATTCATTCAAAAATAACTCTTCTTACCCAGTTTTCCAAGTTAAACACGAATCTGAACTCAATTCCTGTGATTTCTAAAGATATTATATCACTCTGAGAGTAGAGTCAGTGGTCACCGACTAGGGTCGCATACAGTATGGTCCATGCTAACTTAGCACGCCTGTATTTTCTCCTTGCAATTTAGTGATAAAAAACACAGTGAATATACCTTTTCACTTTTTGAGGTACACATAACACTCGGATTTAAATCCGAGGTTTTCGCATTTATTTTCTTTTTATTCTTCTTCTCTCTTTTTTTCTTCTATTCTCTGGTACTTAGTCATCGATATACATATGTATATATATAGAGATAACAGGATCACATGTTACTTTAGCTTAATGTGTATGTTAACATTGTTCGTCTTCCCTTCAGATGAATAAAGAAAATTTTCGATTTTATATCAAAGTGCGTACTGCCTTTAATATTCAACCAACAATGATTCACGATGAATTATGCACTGTTTTCGGCGATGAAGCTCCTTCTTTTAGGACAGTTGCCAGATGGTCTAAATGGTTTCGTTAAGGTCGAAAAGAGATTGAAGACGAAGAACAACCTGGAAGACCTATTGCCGAGAGCACATCTGAAAATATTGAACAAGTCCACAACATTATTAATGATGATCCTTATATTACAGTGGAAAAACTGCAAGCGCAAACTGATCTCAGTCATGGCACTATTCAACGAATAATCTCCGATCATCTAAACCTTAGAAAAATCACCCCTCGTTATATATATACCTAAAGATCTGACTGATGCTTAACGAACAGAACGAGTTCGAATATGCAAAGAAAGTTTAGAAAAATTCGAATCAAGTGCATGGCGACTATGTGATGTGGTAAAAGATGATGAGTCGTGGTTCTATCACACACAGATTGGTCGAAAATCATCAAATTCTTCATGGGTTGATAGGGCTAATCCGTCACCTACAGTAGTTCGACGTAGTCATTTTTCTCCCAACAACTTGTTTAGCATCTTCTTTATATCAACTGGTCCTGTTTTAATTCATTATGTGGAACGGGGGAAAACTAACAATCATCAATATTACATTGATTATTGTTTAAAACCACTTATTAACAACATCAGGAAGCAAAGATCTTCATGTGGTGTTCAAGGTATTAAACTTCATCATGATAACGGATGACCACATATTCATGAAGAAATGTCGGAGTATCTCGAATCTGAAGATACCACTATAACTCCTCACCCAGCTAATTCTCCTAATTTATCACCATGTAATTTTTCGGTATTCGATCTCATCAAACAAAACCTGACCGATCAAAGCAATTCAGAATCGTTGTATCGTGCTGTATTCAACTTCAGGAACTCTTTAAGCAAAGAAGAATATAGAAAAACATTCGATAAATGGATTGAACGGATGCAATTATGTGTTGATAACAACGGCGATTACTTCAAACATTTAATGAAATAAAACTTTGAAAAAAAAAATAAAGAGAAAAAAAGAAAAGAGAATGATACATGTTGAAAAATAAAAAATATGATCAACTACGACCAGCATATATCGTGCGAAAATAAGTTTTATAACGGGTGAGCCATAAAGAATGATGGTCTCCGTATTTCTTGAATATCTCCACGAGTTCTCATTCGTTCGATCTGAATTTTTTTTGAACGAACCCCCGTTCAATTCTCTACAAAAAAAGGTATTTTTATTATATCTCATATAATTTTCCTTGTCTTGAGACAATCGATACAATCAATTAGTTCAAGATGCACAACTTTCCCCGACAACATCTTGAGAAATTTCACGAACTGCACGTTTTAGGACAGTGATTAATGTTATCTTAGATGTCACTGTATCTCACTTGACTATTTGAGCGAATTCGTTCCAGATGCAGTAATCCAATGGGTTCAAATATGGACTATTTGGAGGCCAATGGTCCTTGTCAATGTAACAGGGAAAGTGCTTAGCGCACCATTCTTGCGATTTTGCATGAATGTATGACTTTGCACCCTTTTGTTGGAAGATCCAATCATTCCCGAACATGTCATTGCCGAACTTGAGAACGATTGGGAGTACTTCCTTGATGTATCGATCATGATCGCTGTGCCATTCTCAAAAATCACTAAAGGTGATACACCTTTAGAACAAACTCAGAGCCAGACCATAATGTTTTGCGGAAATTTAAATTTTTGCCGAATATCACCTTTGATGTCGGCTTCTTAATGATTAACCGCCCATATACGATTATTTTGAGAGTTATAAACTCCGTCAATATCGAACATCTTCTCGTCAGAAAACAGAATTTTCATCGTGTCTTCTTTTCGGAAAGTTTTTTCCTACCCAATTAGAGAATTGGATCTTTTTTCTTTATGCTCATCAGTGAACATTGCTTCATTTTGTATTTTGTAGCCAGGAAGTCCTAGATCATTCTTGAGTATTCTCCCAACACTCGTTCGAGAAATACTCAATTCACGGGCTATTTTTTGAGAGGATACCAACTTTCGCTGTTCCAATCGATGTTTGACCTTTCGAATGGCTGCCTTCATTCGAATCGTTCTCAAGCGACCGGTTGATCTTGACAGGTTGATACTGCCGATGTCTCGAATACTCTTGCACCACCGTTCGATTGCAGGAAGCCTAATGGCACCATTGAGATGTTGAAAACCTTTTCTTGGTCCATCATCATTTTGGTACTTGGAAAACATGAGCGCTTGCAAGCCTTTACTTTTCATTTTCTCGAATGAAACTGATCTAATCGAACGCGACAGAGAATACCCACTTTTGTGGAGAATCGAATGGCGATTCGTTCAAAAAAAATTCAGATCAAACGAATGAGAACTCGCGGAGATATTCACGAAACACGGAGACCATCATTCTTTATTGGCCCACCCGTTAGATAATTTAATATTATGATATCAGCCGAAATATGATCAAATAGCATGCAAAGATAGAGCTTCTTCTTCTCTATCAGCCAGTATAGAAAGAAAATTTCTTTAAGCCTAATATAGAATAAAAAATGTCACTGTCTCTACTTTTGGTATGCCCTAAGTATAATAATTATTTTACCTAGATTCAGCATAATTAGTAGCTTCATTTTTCATTTCTTCTGCCGGTTTTGATCATAGACTGACGGATTCAAAAATGCAATCGAAATATATTTTTCTGACTAGCAGAATAATATGTATCATTATCTATACCTACATCAATTCAGTGATGATTAGTGTGATATATTAAGCATGGTATCTTCTCGCTTCATCGACACTTTTTTTTATCCCATTTCATTGACAGAATTGTTTTTCCTTTTAATCAACACTTTTTTCTGAACAAAGTAGATCAACGGGAAGAGAGAGAACAAGAATACAGGGACGAACATATATGTGTATATGCATGTATATAGAGAGAGAGACGTGTATAAGAGAAAAGGAAAAAATCCCATGTAGTGTATGTAAAAATGTAAGGGAAAAAACCAAGAAATGAAGTGACCTAGTTCGTAAGGAAAAGGCCCATATGTAATGCACCAACACATATTGGACGAATCTTCAACAGTAACAAAGAAATTTAATGTCTTGGTTTCTAGGTATATATATATGCATGTGATGATTGTGGATCTACATATATCCACATTAAAATGTTTTCGATCGTTCAAACTACGAAAGAAAAAAGATGTTTATTATGTGATGAATATCATTATGTTTGTGATCGTATTCGCAATACCAAAACGTATTGGCAATGTGAACGTTTTACTGGTTGTCGGGGACGTGCTATACCAAGAGATGATGATGAACCACCTGTAACATCACCACACAATCATAATCCTAATAAAGAACGAAATGATACAGAACAATTCAAATCAGATTTAAAACATCGTATTCGTGAAGGGCAATTACCTCTCAAACAACTCTGTCGAACTGAATTGATCAAAAACTACGCAACTGATCCAGATGAGGAGTCTGCATTACCTCAATATCACCAGATAAAAAATACACTTTATCGAACAGAAAATGAAAATTATCCACCTCTTCCAAAATCAATCAATGAAATTTCTCTTGAAGGTATGTCAGATTATATAAAAAATGCATTAATCTCTCCTTATAAATGTGCTGGATTTTTTTAGGTAAATGGCGTATGTCATTAGACAAGAAAGATTTTATTGTTATCGATCATCATAATCCTCGATATTTAACTTTCGGCACATTACAATCATTTGAAAATTTATGTTCATCTGATTTTTTTTTGGATGGCCGTTTAAGTCATGTCCATCACCATTTGTTCAACTGTACACCATCATACTCAATCATCTATTTTGAATGGTACTGCGCCAATTTTGTACTCTTTATTATCAAGTAAAACGAAGAGTATTTATACATCATTGTTCAATGAATTAAGAACTGTTACAGTAAAACATGATTTAATTTTAAATCCAAAATTTATCAGCGTCGATTTTGAAAAAGGTGCTATTAGTGTTCTGAAGAATGTTTTTCCTAATGTATTTATAAAAGGTTGTAATTTTCATTACAATTAAAGTATATTTCGAAAAATAGAATTTAACGAAAAGAGAAGAGTAGTACTACTGTGTACCACGGCACTGATGTTTATTGTGTTACTTCATCCTCCAATCGTTAATGACAAATGGAGAGACATAATTTTATGTGTCTTACGACACGATGTTTGTTCGACTATGCTCTACATCCAAGTGTAACTATCTCACATACAACACAAGCTTATATATGAGAGAGATGAAAGAGAAGAGAGAAAGAACAAGGAAAAGGAAACGGAACAATTAATTAGAAGAGAAGAGGAAAGAGGGAGAACACTAAAAGAACTGATAATTGAGCGAAAGGCCATGTCATATCAACGACATGATTTATGACACACATCGACCATCCCATGTAATTTCACAATATACTTGAGTTGTCTCATCTGAGGCAAGGATACGATGTCATTCGAAGATGATGAGCCTGTTGACACATACAAGAATTGGATTTACAAAAAGATTATTATGGTTCCTCAATTGATGACCCAAAGAGTGTTAAACATTTAGTTCAATAAACAGGAGCATTAGCATTTATACCTGTTTCGGAGATAAATAATTTATGGTGTGAAATTATGGGCAAGCTTCACCATATATCACGTTCAGAAGATTTCTTCAATTATTACACCGATATATGGATTGATGAAGGTTGTCTATTTCCAAGACATTTATGCAATTATTACAACTTTAGTGGTCCACAAACAAATAATGGGTTGGAAGGCTGGCATCATCGACTTAATTTAAATATTATCACTTTCAATCGAAATTTATATGTGGTTATTGATGAATTGGAAAAAATGATGCATTCAATAAAGGGTTGCCCAGGTTTGCTGACTCGATCTGTATAATTAACTTTTTTTTATTAAAACACGTACTTAAAAATTTCTCTCTATGATAGAATGATGCAGTAAAAGAAGCTCTACAAAACAGCCTATGACTGATCCTGCCTAGCTCATATAATAAGAAAGTTATAAGCTTAGAAATATACGTCACGAAAAATAAAAATTAACCGTAAACATTCAGCTCACTTCTATAATAATTTTAAAGCCATTATATAATCATTTTTGGATTTATGATGTTCCATCTTCGGTTAGATCATAGTATTACTGTTTTTTTAGATCATTTCCTGGATCTTAGTCTATTTTTGTCTAGGTATGCGAAGTATCTTTCGATCTGTATGTATATACTTGATGAATAATATATCTCTTTGTGTTAGTACTATCTTTTCCAGGTATTCATAATCATTCTCCCTTTGCTTTCAAAATATCTATCTCTTTTGTATTCATATATTCGTTTGCCACACAAGCCTATAAATAGACTCGTTTCAGTTCAAATAAAGTATACAATAACCTACAGATTTTTTACGTGGCAGAACAAGATGTCAAATACGTTTGCTTTCGAGGAGCCAAGCTTATAAACATTAATTTAAAATAATTTTGATTGTAACATTCATGGTGAAGAAACATTGTATAATTACAACAACATTTTTTAGATAAAATAAAGTTTTTATGGTTCTAAAATGTCCACGGTTAATTTATATTTTTTGCGACACATATTTCCAAACCTGTAACTTTCTTAATATATGAGTTAGGCAGGATCAGCCTTATGCTGTTTCGTAGAACGCGTTTTATTGCATCTTTCTATCATATAGACAAATTTTTAAGTACGTGTTTTAATATAAAAAATTAATTATATAAATTGAGTCAGCAATCCTGGGCCACCCTTTATGGCAACAATTAAACAAGTTGAAAACAAAATGAACAAGCTATCATGAAGTAAAACATTTATTTATCGAAATCAACGAATTCTTGATTTAATGAAACGTTATGAAAACGGTTCATTGTCATTAGAAGAATGTTTCAATAAAATTAGTAAAATAATTGGTAAAAAATCAAAATGATATTTTGTTACCATAATATTATGAATTATTGAATTATGTTTTCGTTTCTGTTATTCCATCATTTTCTCTCATATAATATTGCTTTTTTCTGTCTAAATTATTGTTCTAATAAATTGTCGATGAAATAGGAAAAATATTCTGTCGAAAAAACGGAATAAAAAAAATGTCGATAAAAAGGGAAAATTAATTAATTATTCTTAACTTGTCGATGAAACGAGACCAAGCCATTAAACATAAACAAACATAAGAAATAAGAAAAATTATATTATAATCGTTTAGTAATTCTTGCTTTTAATCCATATTTAGATCGCATTGTAATAAAAATATCGGGAAGAATTTTTTGACCAGGTTCTAATTCAAAATTGCATCGTTGTACAAGCGTAGCTAATATAATTTTAGCTTCAAGTAATGCAAATTTCTCTCCAATACAATTACGTGGTCCAGATCCAAATGGTAAATAACAAAATGGATGAGCTAATTTTGATTTAAGACCTGTTACAGGATCACGCATCCAACGAGTATAATCAAATTCAAGTGGTCGAGGCCAAAATTCTTCTCTTCGATGAAGAATATAAGTATTAATTGAAACGACTCCTCCAACAGGAATACGTATTTGACGATGACCTTCACTACCTATATAATGTTCACGAATGCATCTTCGCGCTATAAAAGGTGCTGGTGGATACAGACGAAGTGTTTCTTTTAGAACAGCTTCGCATATAATTAATCCACTCAAATGTTCATGAGTAGGTTCAATATCATTTGGAAGTACTCTATCGACTTCATCTCGACAAGCTTGTAATACATGCTCATGCGTCATTAATACATACATAGCCCATGTCATTAAATTGCCTGTTGTTTCATGACCAGCAAGTATAAATGTTAATGCTTGATCTTTGATTTCTTTATCGTTAAATGGCTCTCCTTCAGTATCGACGGCTGAAAGAAGAAGATCAAGAAAATCTTCACTAGATGATAAACTAGTTGATCGATTATATCGACGATCGGCAATAATTTGATCAACAAAATCAGAAATTTCTCGAGAATCTTTATCTAAAATATCTTTACCCCAAAATGGCAATTTTGATACAATAGGTATTTGATCGATTAAACGTACACTTCGATATTCAACTACTTCCAATAGTTCAGTAACTGCTCGACATACAATTTGTTTTGCATTAGCTATTGTTTCAAAACCTTTACCAAATGCACTTGATGCAACAATAGTTAATGTTAAAGCATTTAATTCTGCTTGTAAATCAATAAATTGTTGTTCATTTGATAATAAAAGAAGTTCATTAATACCTTTATTAGTTTTATCAACCATAATAGCAATCATTGACTGTAATTTAACGAAATGAAAAGCTGGATTAAGCATTTTTCGTGCACGTTCATGCTCTGTTCCTTCACTAACCAATAAGTTATGTACACCAATTAAAGGTTTATAAATTTTATCAATATTAAGTAGTTTCAAATAATCTTGAACATGTGATGGACCAAATATATCAGCAATCATATCTGGCTCTAATACAACTAAATATATTGTTGGACCAATACATATTCCATAAAAATATCCATGCTTTCGAACGAGTTCCATTCGATAATTCATTGCAGTACCTTTTTCAGATGCACGACTCATATTAGGTAATTGACCAACGATTGGTACGAATGGTTCACATGGTACACCTTGACTACGAAGTATATTATAAATACGTTTTTGTTGATGGATAAATTTCCAATAAATAAAGAAGAAAATTGAAGAAAATACACCAAGAATAGTGTATAAAAGTATAAGTAAACCCATTTTAATGTATATCAAACTTTAAAAGAACATCATCTTATGTAGTGGTATGATGATGAAGCAAGAATTGTTTTATTTTTTCTCTTCCTCCATTTTGATGAAGCAGTATTACATTCTCTTAACACAGGTCTTGATAAAAGAATAGAAACAAAAGAAGGCTTATCATTTATCGTCTTTATCGCTAAAATACATTGTTGACTCAGGGAGGGCATTTTTTGCTTGGAGTTCTGTATTTCTATACTTGCTGTGAATGACGAATGGCAATCGATAAATTTAACATTTATTTTCATAAATACTGTAGCTTCCGTATATCTTCTATCAATGTATTTATGATATTCATTGGCAACATGAAAACAAGTGTATATGAGTAGTAAAGGTTGAAAACAAATGATTACGTAAGAATATGAAATCTTGACTATCATTTCTCATTTTCGAGCTTATCATCTCGACTTTTGATCCATGCCCGCGGAAAAAAGAAACTGCACTCAGTATTTTAAGGAAATCTTTTCTATAATAAGATATTTTTTTTATAAATTATGATATATTCTGAAAGCGCGTGGAGTTTTCTATCAGCCTGTATATTTGCCTTTTCGTTTGAATATATGTTTTACCAAAAAAAATTGAGTGTAATGAAGACAGCCTCATATCCAGATTCCCACAGGCTTGATTTTGTCACTTTCACCAAAATTAGTTTTTTAAATTTTTCATCAATATATAATTACCTTTTGAAAAAAGTAATTATATATTCTGATAGAGCTTGAAATTCTCTATCA